CCCCCTTCTAAAAAGCTTCTCCTGAGATGCATCTACAAGACAAGCAATCAATATGTACAGTGCCTTATGTATGCACTGAATCATAGCCTATATTCTACATGCTAGCAAATTTATTAGGAGAGAGATCAGCAAGTTTTCCGAAAGTTCTCAAAGAAAGTTTATAAGAAACATTTGAAGGACAGAAGCAGTTTACAACTGACTGCCAGTGTATAACCACAGCTCACAAGAGAAGAAAAAAAAGAGATTTAACTGGTATTTTCAAAGAATTTGAATACAGTAGGGTCATCTGCAAGCCGGGGAACCTTATTCCACTTGGTTTCATCCAAGGAAAATAACTGCAGAGATACATACTGAGAATTACAACATTTAATAAAAGTGGAATAAATGGAGGATAAAACTCAAACAAAGCTATTAACTCTAATCCAGGATTTTTTGTCTTGGTAAATTTCATTAATACTACATTTATTACCATGAATTACATTCACAGCCAAAAAAAAAAAAAAAGAATAGAACCAAATATCTACTTTTAGAATGATATATTAAATTCTGTTCTAATAACTATTATTCAGCATACAGTATATAAGGAAGGTGAAGTAACTGACATAATAAATGTACATTATAAATAGTACATTAAATCATATCTGAAAGTAGCAAATTGGAAATATTTCTCTATACATTTGAGGCTATCATTAACAAATCATTTTCTATCAAACGTGAACAATTTCTCTCAGCCTAAAAATATTATGGCATTCAGACATTTATGTATCACGGTCTTCTAGATCTGATCCCCCACAAGAAAACAGTTTTATAAACAATCACTTAAAATCTGCTAAAAGGCCAGTAGCTTATTTTTTTTCCAAAGGGTATGGAAATCCAACCTATTAGCCATTGCAAGCCAGTCATTCAAAAATGTGCATATGACTTAGGCTAATAAAGGACATGCAAAGCAATTCATCCCTCCTAAAATAGCCCATTGTGACTTTAGCCTGACCACTAAGTAGACTAGACGAAAACAGACATTTACTAAAATGAATGGGGTTCTTTTTCAGTTATGGTGACCCAACCAGTAGTTAAATACAGAATAAGCAGCAATATGGTGAATAGAATCTTATATTTAACAAACTTTTATTGCAAATTGAGATATTTAAGAACAAGGCATGCATTCTTCCTAAACCTCACATTATCATCAAATATTCAGAACTGTGAATTCAAATAGCACTGAATACTTATAAATGAACTATAGATGAATTGTATCGAAATATCCCTTCCTTCTTATTTTTTCTTGTGTTAAAGCGATTGGTGCTACCTGGCTATTAGCATTGCTGATATAGTCTTTCAGTAAAGGAGGAACCTTCTGGAAAAGCTAATTTACACTTCTAATGCACTCCATAAATCAGGCTGAAGGTAGATTATATGCTAAATCTTGAACAACATAAACCATAAAAATAAAGTAAGGATCAAATCATGCTACAGTTGCAGAACATTTCAAGCAAAAGATCCCAGATTCAATCCTTGGCTTTCTAGCTAGAAAAATCTGATGGCAGATGGTTTCAAAAATCTCCCTCTAAAAAACTTACTATTGTCAACCAGAATAATGGGTTAGATAGTCCAATAGTCTGAACTGATATAGGCAGTTTCCTTATCATAGTAATAGCATTTCATACTATTAAATCCTCCACAAGAAGTCTTGCAATAGATCATGAAAATTCTCAAGCTTAGTGTTTCATGGGTTCTATGGAGTGGACAATTTTTTACCCCTAAAGGACACATGGAGTGCTCAAGGATTATATGCCAGATTGGCTTGGGCATAGCCTAGATACACAAAGTTATTCACAGGCATGTATAGTCTTTTTCATACATACATGTATAGTAACACACATAGTCCTGGTTCTCAAAGGCTCTCCCTGCTAGAATTTGTTCAGCTGTAAAGGATTATGCCAAGACTGTTTGACAAGCCAGTAGGAACACAGAAAAAAATACAGGTTCGTGGCTTTCCTCAAACGACTTATTTTGCTCACAACCCCTTTAAGGTAAATTCTAGCCTTCTTCCTATTTCATGCAAATCTACCTAGAAATACTAAAATAGCCACAAAATCTGGAAATTTAGGAGATAAGGCTTCGCCCAGGCCCTAAAACTAGAAGGCATATATATAATGCCCACTGAAAAATATATCTCCCCAACTGGCATAAAACTGCAGCCATTTAGGGGATGCCAACAAATTCACAGCTTGATTGTGTGCATGTATGCATGTATGCATGTATTTCTCACATTTACATAGCTGTCCATCTCACATAGTGACTCTGATGTATGATATATGATGGCTCCTCAGAAATAAGTCCCACAATATTCAATAGATCTACTCCCAAGGACAGTGGACATAAAAGCAGTACATTCAGCTGTTCAGAGATAGCACAGCTTTTTAATCATAAAATAGATGTCTCATGAATCTTAAGAGAAGCCAAATTATGTGATATAATATAATCTGCCTAATACCATAAACAAAATCCAAATTTACAAGAATGAGAGAATCAAAATAAAATTCAAAATGATTAGATTATAGAAGAATTTATGATAATTAATACATAGAAAATAAGGCTTTTAGAATTTTCTGAAAATTGTCCTTCTCTACTAGAAAAAGTCAGAACACCTTTCTGTCTTATGTATTTTGAAGGCTACGACGACAAACATATTTACCTCTGAGCACATATGCTCAGGCACGAACGCTAACCTTGACTGACTGTTCCTTAGCTATTTTTATTATGTATAGTGTAATAGTAATAATACTTTACATACAATACCAAAATAAGCACTTTTTAAATATTAAATCAGTTTACCTCACCATTGTCCCATGCAAATTCTCCATATCCAAGTTTTAAATCAAATGAAAATTCGCCTTTATAGCAAGAACCATCTGGCCATTCTTGCACTCCGGTTTTATATTCAATCTTGTTATTGTTCAGATCACCTTCAACTAATGTATCTTGCTGTACATTACTTTCTTCCTCATACTCTTCTATCTCTTCTTCATCATCACCCTCATAATCAACAGCAGATATTTGTTCAGTCTCAAATTCACTTTCTTCTTCTTCACCTTGGAATAAACTATTCGTTGAGAAGATATCTCCTGCTTTATTTTTCTTCTCTCTGAAATCATAATCAAGGACAGTTACTTCTACTTTATCAACTAAGTTCATCCAACACTACAGCTCTTCCACACATAACAGGATGTTTCAAAATGATTTATTTGCAAATAAATGTATGTGGCTTACAATCCTATGCTCACTTATTAGGAAATAGGCTTAATTTAAATCAGCAAAGTTCATTTTTGAGGAGACACACAAAAGATACTAGGACTGCACCAATTCTGCTGCTAAACACAATCAGATTACAAATTTGCGCAGAGAAGCAACTTGGTTGCTGCTTCATTTTGCATAATTAGGAAAATGGCAAAAGAAAGTAGCATCTTGAGATCACCAAATAATGATGGACTGGATGCAGATATCACCATAATTATTCTAAATATCAATTTGCTGTTACTAAATAGAACTTAGCTGTGAAGACAAGTCAACATAGGACATGAAGTGAAAGAGCAAAAAAACAGTTGTCCTGAAAGTTTTGTGTACTTTAAATAAAACAAAGCATTTCTGCAATGTGTCAAGGCTGAGGCTTAATAATATTTTAAAACAAATTATGGTCAGAAAATAGGTTTAGAAATACTTGTAAATTTTTCAGGAAATATGCAACCTAGTAATTCTTAAAAATATAGCTTGTTTACAAAATGTATATGTTCATTCACCCATTGCACCAAAATGAAAAGACCATAAATACTTCCAAGGATAGTTAACCAAAAAGTATACAACAATTATGTGTGCATTATCAACTATGCCTGCCTCTATTAAAAATTCTGGGTTGATATTTTTATAACCATGCTGGTATAGCACAAAAGTTTTCATCCTACAGAAGAAAACCATTCAAAATTGTCACCATAACAATATGTCCACATAATTCTCACACAGAAAAACTGACAAGATACATGTTCCTTCTCCATGTTTATATATTTACATATATTCATTAAGCTAAACCAGCTAACAAATCCTGAATACTAGTTCAGTACATTAGCCATTACAGCCAAGCCCCAGGAATCTAGTGCACAATCTACCATTTCTCCTTCCCAGAATACAGTTTAGTTCCTTGGGAATCCTAACTTTGCACAGGTGAACTCCACATGTAAGAAATTGAAGGGAATTGTCAAGTTCCATATTCCAGGTGCTGACTCAAAGTATAAATGAAAACTGCAAAGTATAATCTGTGTATAGTACATCTTAATGACACACACGCCTGTGTTGCCTTCCCCAACACAGAGTCTTCCAACAGGACTATTGTTTTCGTTACCACAGCTGATCAAGGTGGACCTGATGGGAATTGTAATCCAAGACAATTAGATTGCACCAGGGTGAGAAAAGTTATGAAAGCCTAAAATACTGATGACATCCTTCCTGTCCAAGGGCAGGTATCTCCACCTAACGATTTTCTCATACAATCACCCTTCCTCATTCATGGAGTTTTACAGGGGGGGTCCAGGCTACAGTGTCTGTAATTATTTTGTATTTTCCCAACACAATTGTCATCTCTTACCCTATTGGAGAGGAAAAATTATCAAGGAGAAAAATATGCAGTAGAAGAATTCTAATGCGTTTTGATTAATGACACATTGAAAGCCTCTGTCTGGATGTGATTATTTGGTACTCACACCCAGACAGAGGCTTTTAATACCTCTACTCCTCCTCTTATTCTTATTCCCACCGTTCTGTATTAAAAGTCGATTATAAACATAATGTTATCACTAATCTTACAAAAGCACTTGTTTGCACTCCACTTTATCGTTGCATTCATCCGGATAACGTTGATATCCAAAGCAACGACTTCAACAGATACTTATGTTTACGCTACCCATTAGCCGCACAAATTCATCCCGGTGCAAAAAAAAGGGAGGGGAGGGAACCCTATGTCCACCATCGGAAGGACACCGCATCCCTGCACCTTCCACACGTGAACGCCACGCGGCTCGCCAGTCCGGGGTACGCCTATTCTGCCTTCACAGCCTACGGCCAAGCCCCTTCCCCGGTCCACAGGACTCTGCACGCTTGCCGCCGGCTTCCGCCAGAGGTCCCCCCAGGACGAGAAATCTCGTTCCGCCCAGACAAGGGAGAACTAACAGCTGCGAGCCTCGCCGGCCCGCGCCTTGAGCGGCACCCACCCGAGAGCCAGAGCGGCAGCCGGAATAGCCTCCATTCTATCTCAAGGTCAGGGAAGAGTCTGCCGGACCCGCGGGCGCCGCCTCACAAGGGCCGCGGTGGGGAGCAGGGACGTAACAGTCGGCGAGGACGAGCTCAGAGGGTCGGGAGCTTTGCCGCTACCACGCTCAGCGGAAAGCCACCGCGAGCAGCGGGGAAAGGGCGGCCGGGTCTCGTCTGGCAGCGCCGAATACCCCTCTCCCGCTTGGGCTGCGCCGCATCCGAGTTTCCATAGAGACCAAGGCGGAGTTTCGTGGAGCGCCGAGTGGCTCCACCTCGCAGGCATTTTTTCACTGGCGCTTCCTGAGCGCCGGGTCATTGAGAGGCGCGCCGGTGGCAGCCCTTTTTGTGCCCAGAAAAGTGCTTGTAAAGAGCGCTCTTCGCTAGTTCCCTCCGCCTGCTGCCCCCCAGACGCCTTGGACTGGAACTCCCGGGCGCAGGAAAAGGGGACAACGCGTTACGCTAGGCAGTCGTTTCCCGTTGCATGCGACCAAGTTTTTGTTCAAGGTCGTTAGAAATGAGAAAGTCTTGTGGTATCTGAAGACAAGCCCTGATTATGATATAAAATCTGTTTGACAAAGCAGCTTTCTCCAACCTAGTGCCTGCCATTGGATGGCCATATCATTTTTGAAGAACTTTTTAAAAAAAGTTCAAGCTTTTTTCCTAGCAGCAAAAGAGGAGTTTGCCATTACTTTCCTCTGGAATGGGTTTTCCAGCTCCCCAGTCTGGTACACTGTACAGCCTGGTATGGCCTGGAGGGAAGTGCCAAAAGGCATCATGGTGTTGAATGCAAACACATTTTGTGTGTTATCCAATTGCAGGGCAGAGCCTCCATTGTGACATCATGATGTATGTTTCATCATTTTGGTGTTGAATGGAGATCTCCCGTCCAAGTAATACTGGATCACACTTAATGATCTAGGCTTTCAGGATCCAGGCAAGGTTTTAGTTACAGACAATCCTCTACTTATGAATAGGTTATGTCCCAAGAGGCTGTTTGTAAGTCCATTTTGTTAGTAATTCCAACTACGGCCCGCTGTATACATACATCTAGAAGTTTACAGCAAGCCGCATACATATTCACACGTGCTGTAAACGTCTGGGTGTACGTATGCATGCACACCATAAACTTCCAGGACCTTCCTTCAGGGACCACCATTGTTGGAGTTGTTGGAGGTTTGTCAGAAAACAAGAGACACGGGTTCGGTTGCCCAGTAGACAGAAGTTTTTTTATTGGGCACGTTTGCAAAGGTG